GAGAGGCATGGTTAGTGGCGGTGAAGGTGGGTGTACGGTTAATACAAGGATAACTACGTACATGCAAACCCTGTGTTCCTCATCATCATTTCACGGCCTTGAATGCAAAGTCGGCTTACCTGGGCTGAGTTCTGAAAGAGCAAGCGCTGTGGTGGATGACCGTCAATCTAGAAGGTCGCCACCGACCATCCGCGATTGAGCCCTGCCAAACGCTCCATCTCGAACCGCTCCAGATCCTTACAGTTCCGGAGCTCCGAGATCACAAGAGGCGCAAGGCCGGGCTCTACGACTAGCTGAAGCAGGCCGTTGATGTCAACCTCGGCCATTCCCATTCCGCCATTCACGCGCCGAACGAAATGCAGCAGCTTCAACGCGAGCGGATTGAGGGGCGTGGCATTGCTCTGTCCGGAGATGATTGTTGGCGGCGTGGCATGACTCCCTTCGGGCCGGCTCTCAGGATGGTCACTCGTGTCAGCCGCAGGAGCTCCTGGTTGTGGTTGATGTTCATCTTCAGGAGGCCCCTCGTTCACGTCGTTGGGAGTTTCGTCAACGTGAGCTTCAGGCACGCGTGGAGGACCGCTCACACTGACGGCGTTGGATGCGTTAGACGCTGTAGGTGAACCGGGAGCGGCTGGAGCGTCCGACAAAATGTCGTGGACGAATAGCAGAGCGTGAAGACCGGCGGTCGGTGCAGATCGCGTCGGCCTTGCCACGGCGGATAGTCCTTGGCAAGGGGTCCGCCGTGACTTATGACCGCCATAAACTTGGGCGTTGGGGAACCATCTGTTGCAGAACTCGCAGACGACGCCTGGTAAAGAGCCCATGTGTTACGGATCCGTTGTAGAGTCGAGAAATCGCCTATGAAGCTACTAGCCGTGATGAAGCTTGTGAACGCATTAAGTACTTCGTTCAAGAAGCCTGTGACAGCTACACGATCATCGCCAATGCGCGCACTGTGGTGGGCGGCTTGTATCACTGCACGACTGGCACTTGACATTGGCGCTAATGTTTATGACTGGCTAACGATGTCGAGCCGCGTGGTCGTTACCAGGCACGATACAGACCGCCCACCTCACGGGCCGTCTTCCCTACAAGGCGTGTCGCCCCCATTTAGAGTGACCACGACGTGAGCAGAGGAGAATGCAGAGGATCTTAAGTCTCACGGTCGTGTGTGTGCGTCCCGAGCACGGTGAGAAGAACGTGCCTATTGAGTCAAGAACTTGTGTTTAGGAACCGTGCGTGAGAGTCGAGGGGGATGAGGAAGAGCGGGAAGAGATCCGTTTGGATCTGTGATTGTGTCGCGAATCGATATAGGGGGGAAATCAGAATCACGTAGGTGAGCTCAAGAGGCTTCAAACAAACATGGAAATGCAAATGTACAATTACAACTTAACAAGACACTCAAGTAATTCATAACTAGTAAACATTCATATCCTTAGGACTGATGTTGAACAACCCTTACTTGATAACGATACGAGAAGTACCCAATAACTCCATGCCCTAACGTATGATTGTTGCGTGGAGCGAATACCTATAGCGTGTCTTCTCTCGAGGTGTAGTGTACCTCTACGCACCGTGCTGAATGAATATGCAAGAATGGATGACAATGTCGTACAATAACACAACGGTTTCAATGTCCATGCAATGTTGGATGACAATGCAACACCATACCACAATGGATTCACCATGTCGCGCAACCCGCATGTTAAAGTTTAGAAGAAAGAAGAGGGTGTTGCACTAGCAAGAATGAGGATACAAATAGCAAACCCTAGAAGGGTTGTACTCGCTATAGAGCACCCCACTACAGGCTAGAGCATAAGATAACATTCTGACACACCCCCATAGCCAAAGTGGGGTGTAATCAGCAGAGTAAGCAAAGGAGTACAAGCTCAGGGTGGATCACAATGTCACCACACATTCTGAGCACAAGTTCAAGAAGCAATAGTTTAAGTTCACAATTATGAGCAAAGCTAGTGGTAGTCACAACGGGCAAGTGAGGAGGAGGAGAGAGAGTGAGAGGAGAGGAGATAGGAGGCGACGGCTGAAGCTGCAGACACACAGGCAACAGGAGGCAGACTGGCACAGCGGCTACCGGACGAAGTCCCCGGAATACAGGAGTAACAGGCCCCGCGGCTAAAGTAGCGGCAGACGAGCAACGGACCCACGGGCGGCTGGCACAGCTGGCTACGACTGGGCTACCGGACGAAGTCCCCGGAATACAGGTGCTGCTGGCGACACGACGGCAACCTCCATTCAGCTTCCCCAAACTATCCCACTCCCCCCTGGCACATACCCGCTGCTACACCGCTAGCTCCACTCCCCCTTCACCCCCCCTTAGTACCACTCCACCGGCTCCAACACGTCCACCCCCCCTCAGCGGCAGCTGCAGCACAGGGAGACGGAGGAGGAGGAGGAGCAGGGAACAGTACACAGTGGGTGCACCCCCATACCCCGCACCCCCAAACCCTAATACAGGAGAATGGGGAGTAGGAGGGGTGGGGCACGAGTAGAAGCGCTGGGGGACAGTAGGGAGGGCAGGGGCAGCAAGGAGCGGGCCCACCACGGGCCTGGTAGGGTCGCCCGAACCGCGCGTAGGCGGCCTGAGCCGCGCGCGGGCCTGGCGCCGCCCGTACGGGCCGCGCGCGGGCCTGGCGCAGCCCGTACGGGTGGCGCGCGGGCCTGGCGCAGCCCGTACGGGTCGCGCGCGGGCCTGGCGCAGCCCGTACGGGTCGCGCGCTGCCTGTACGGGCCGCGCGCAGGCCACGACGGGCGACGGGGGGCGACGAACGGGTCCCCGTCGCCCGTCGCGGCGCCTCCCGAGGGCGACGCGACGGTTGACGGGGCCGAAGCCCGCCGCGCGCCTCGGGGCGCACAGCGGGCAGAGAACCGCCGCGCGCCTCGGGGCGCACGGCGGGCAGAAAACCGCCGCGCGCCTCGGGGCGCACGGCGGGAAGAAAACCGCCGCGCGCCTCGGTGCGCACGGCGGGAAGAAAACTGCCACACGCCACGGGGCGTGCGGCACCGAGTGTAGTGGTAGGAGTTGCAGCGGAAGCTAGGAGGTGGTAAGCCCACCCACAGGATCGATCCAAGGGGATCGACCTGCTCTGATAGCATGTTAAAGTTTAGAAGAAAGAAGAGGGTTGCAATAGCAAGAATGGGGATACAAATAGCAAAACCCTAGAAGAGTTGTACTCGCTATAGAGCACCCCACTACAGGCTAGAGCATAATATTCTGACACCGCAGGCCTGAACGCTGCATCGTCGCACAGTCTAACCATGGCTATCGATAACGCATCTACGCTTGTGCGTTGGGCCTGTGCTTCATACCACTCCTTCTAAGCACCTTGTTTAATGTCTGTGCAAGAATGGATGCCAATGCAACACCATACCACAACGGATTCACCATGTCGCGCAACCCGCAGGCCTGAAAGCTGCATCGTCGCACAGTCTAACCATGACTGTCGATAACGCATCTACGCTTGTGCGTTGGGCCTGTGCTTCATACAACTCCTTCTAAGCACCTTGTTTAATGTCTGTGCAAGAATGGATGCCAATGCAACACCATACCACAACGGATTCACCATGTCGCGCAACCCGCAGGCCTGAACGCTGCATCGTCGCACAGCCTAACCATGGCTGTCGATAACGCATCTACGCTTGTGCGTTGGGCCTGTGCTTCATACAACTCCTTCTAAGCACCTTGTTTAATGTCTGTGCAAGAATGGATGCCAATGCAACACCATACCACAACGGATTCACCATGTCGCGCAACCCGCAGGCCTGAACGCTGCATCGTCGCACAGTCTAACCATGGCTGTCGATAACGCATCTACGCTTGTGCGTTGGGCCTGTGCTTCATACCACTCCTTCTAAGCACCTTGTTTAATGTCTGTGCAAGAATGGATGACAATCCAACACCATACCACAACGGATTCACGTTTGTTACTATTGATAATCGTGTTAGAATGTCGTCCGTTGGCCCTAAACCATTGTGGCAAAGCCTAAAAGTGCACAGTACATCTGTCACAAGTAATAATTCTGGACGGTCGTTGTGTGTGTGACGTAAGAATCACCGATTAACTTACCCCAACCCCGTGGTAAACCATTTGCAACTTAGAGTTTGATGAAATGCATTGTTGTATGTTTGAATAAAATTTAGTGATTTATGCGTTGGCAACCGTGATTGGCCGACGCATCTCAAACGATTCCCCCCGCAACACAGTCATCAGCCAAGAGGTACTTCAGCCATTGAGCGGCTGAGATCGAGCGGTAGGTGGGTTTATGCTAGGGTGGCTACACGTACACCGTCCAATATAGCCTGATAGGGTTACATTACTCTCTCTAGTCTCGCAACCCACCCCAACCACCCTCGTGTCCCACCCACCTGCTTCCGTCACTCCCTGGACCAACACTTTGACGCTGCTCGTTGCCTTGACACACGCCTCTCCAGATCGGCCTTAGCGCGAAGCATAGTGGCTACTATGACAGATTTAGTTGAAGCGGCGGTTTTCGGAAACACATAACAGTGATAGACCGTCGATAATCCCATCGTGGGATTCAGTTGCAGAACCCTTTCGAAACCGGCTCAACCCTTCCGCGCGATTTGCAACTTTGCTCCTCCTACAATTACCATGACACGCGCAACACGTAACCAAGCAATGGAGGAGGAACAGGCCGGCTGCCGCGCGACAAGGAGGACGTCTAAACAAATCGATAGGGAGTGTGGTGGCGGCGCTAAAAAAACTAATGCGTCCGTCGCTCGTGGCATTGGGCAGAAAAAAGCGGCGGCAAAAAAGGTCGCGCGCGGTCAACAGGAGGCCGGCAAGAAAGCGGAAGACAAGGGGCCTAAACCAACGCCACGCAAGCGTGTTTCTACAGTGAACAAAGATGCGGATGTTGCCTCTGCTGGAACCGAGCCCGGTCCGAGTAAAGACGGCACCACTGGCGGCAACGAAGATCCGGGGCGAGGGAGCGCGAGTCTTGCACTCCCGTCGGCGGAGATGGAGGGATCGGCGACGGAGGGAAATCACGGAGGCGATCCCCGCGCCGAGCATGCCGCAACCAAGGAGTCCGAGGCGGCGGCAACGCAACACCATCTGACGCTGCTCCAGCCGACCGTGGTCGAAGTTTCTGCAGCCGTGCTGGATAAGGACAAGGTGGGGGAGCACGAGTCGGTGGGGCTGGTCGGTGGCTCTCCACCTTCTGGTGGACGGGGGGAGGCGTAGGCAGAGGAAGAGCGATGGGGAGGACGATTATGACACCGCCGTGACCGGGGACCTCATTACGCGGGCGAAGAGGCAACAGACGACAGGTAGTGCTGACGACGCCGGAGGCGCGGCAGTTGGGACACCGCGAGGCGCCAAGGAAGCTAGTGGCAAGGCGGGCGGTCAAGCATTGCGCCAGAAGGGCCGACCCGCAGCAAGAAAAGCATCGGCAGAAGGAGAGGCAAGAAAGCAGCGACGGGAACAAAGCCGAAACGGGGCGATGAAGACCCCGGTGATGCGGAGGAGGAGGAGGATGAGGAGGAGGATGCGGAGGGAGAGGAGGATGAAGAGGAAGCGGAGGAGGATGACGCGGATGTTGGGGAGGATGAAAAGGATGAGAATGATGGCGGGGAGGACGAAGAGGAGGAGGAGGAGGAGGAGGAGGAGGAGGAGGAGGAGGAGGAGGAGGAGGAGGAGGAGGAGGAGGAGGAGGAGGAGGAGGAGGAGGAGCAGGGTGACGACGAGGAGGAGGATGTGGAGGAGGAGGAGGAGGAGGAGGCAGCGGAGGAGGATGAGGAGGAGGAGGAGGAGGAGGAGGAGGAGGAGGAGGAGGAGGAGGAGGAGGAGGAGGAGGAGGCAGAGGAGGAGGAGGAGGAGGAGGAGGAGGAGGAGGAGGAGGAGGAGGAGGAGGAGGAGGAGGAGGAGGAGCAGGGTGACGACGAGGAGGAGGATGTGGAGGAGGAGGAGGAGGCGGCGGAGGAGGAGGAGGAGGAGGAGGAGGAGGAGGAGGAGGAGGAGGAGGAGGAGGAGGAGGAGGAGGAGGAGGAGGATGTGGCGCCAGTGAAGGGACGGGGCGGGCGTGGCAGACGGGTGAGTGGTACAGGGAAGGAGGGGGGCCGGACTCGCCCTTCCCGAAAACGCGGGGCAGTTGACGCTGCGCGCGGCGAAGCATCGGGCAAACCGAAGGCGCGTAAGGTGAAGGTCGAAAGTGAAGGGGTTGGTAAAAAGCAAGGGAGCCAGGGAGCAAAAGGGGATGGAGGAGGAAAGGGTGGACGCGCCAAAGGGGTTCCAGTGGGTACCAGCAAGAAAGAACCTGCCGGTAAACGTCGCAGCGTCCGCCAAAGCACCCCGCGGAAAGGTGGCAACGAGAAGGCGCAGGCTGCCCCAAAACCGAAGGGACAGCAGAAAGGTGAGCATTGTGTCCAATAAAACTGGCGTGACGTGTTGAACCATCTGCTAAACCGTGCCAAAAAATTATAATTTTTAAACACACATTGTGTTTTTTAAAATTGTGTATTGTGAAAGCGAAGCTGCTTGTACTGCACAATTGGCATCGTCGAAGCGCGCTAAACGCCCTTCTCCAACTACAAAAACCGTGGGTTGGAGCTCATTTCCCTCCACCCACGTTTCTCTATTTCAAACGGCTCACTCAACATTTCCGCTCACGTAGTCTTTCTCTCCTTCCAAGCTGGCTAGAACAAAATCGCTTCCTAGAGGCGAGTCACCCTCGACTTTACTTAGCGACATTTTTAACTTCAATCGATCAACGATGGCACCGACGACGACACTTAACAACGGGAACTCGTCCAACCCCGCTTCTGACTCCGACCGTAACACCCGCGATTTTGCGGGCGACCGCCGTAACAAGCGCCGGGCAGAAGATGGACCGCCCGCCCCGACTGCAGTGGACGTGCTGCTGGGCGGGCTCGAGGTCAACAAAAGTGTCGACGCCCAGTTGTAATGAGAACGATGCCAATTGATAAAAATAAGAAAGCAAGCTTTCTCAATACACCCTTTTTTCACATTGTTTCTCCCATGCAGGGAAGGAGAAGGTCGACGAATCTGCCAAGCAAGGTAAACCCTCTTGTCTCAAACCAGTACAACCCTGAACCCGATCTAGATTCAAACCTTTCTGAATATGCATGCATGTCTGGCCCCGCCTTGAAACCGATCGACTCTAATTTTTTTTTTCCGGCTCCCTCTACATCTCAGCCCCTCGCGTTACAGGCATTGGGCCGCCCGTAAGCGTGCAACGAATGCATCTAACGAAGGCTGCCGGAAGAGCGAGTGTTACACCGCTCTCCTCCGGAGCACCAAGGTACTACACGCCATGGGCCGGCCCGAGCAAAGTCGCTGCGACGGCACCAGGCGCGCCAAGAGGAGAGGAATCCGAATCCCCTCCACCCGCCCCCGTCACGCAGTCCCCACTCGCCTCACCCTCGTACCAATTTCGGCAACTCCACGCTTCTCCTGTCCGGGGCAGGGCGGTCTCCCCTCTCGCCGATCCTTCGCGCGGGCATCAGGCAGGCAGTTATGCCAATCCCTTCCCTGAGCTCCCCTTTTCCCGCCAGCGTGATAGTGTGAGGGCACACGGGTCTGCTGCAGAAGACGTTGATCCCCTTGGCCAGAGGGGGGATTCTTCACACCCTTTTCCTCCGCTCATGGGTGCCCTAGGTGAAAGTGCGGAGCACGAGCAGTTTGTTACACGGGAGGAGTTCCAGGCGCTGCGGTCTGAGATGTACGCCATGTTTGCACAGCTCGGCCTGCGTCGTGGAGTACCTGCCAGCTATGCCGGCGGGTCGGCAGCCCTGCCTATGGCTGGTACCCCGCCGCCGATGAGCGCCGTGGACAAGGCACGAGTGCTAGTGTTGCAGGAGACAAACCCATTCCCGGTATGTGGCGGGTCACATGGGGAGGGTTGGGGTTGACGTGGCAACAAGGGCGGGGTTGGGGCTGACGTGGCGGTTTCGAAGGGAACACGGGAGCGGCGCGTGACGAGGCGACGCGTATCAGGTGGGTGGGGGGTGACGTGGCATGGGGTGGGTGGGGGTGACGTGGCAAGTGGCGCGGGTTGTTGGTGGACGTGGCGGATGCGGGTTGGGTGTGACGTGGCAAAAGGTGAGGGTTGGGATATGACGTGGCGGTGTGAAAGGGTGCAAGGGAGTGCAGCATGACGGCGCGAGGCGTTTCAGGTGGGTGGGGGGTGACGTGGCTCTTGGTGGGGGGTGTGACGTGGCAAGTAGGGCGGGTTGTTGGCGGATGCAAAAGGGTGTGACGTGGCAGAATGTGAGGGTTGGGGCTGACGTGGCGGTTTGGAATGGTACACGAGAGCGGCGCGTGACGAGGCGACGCGCGTCAGGTGGGTGGGGGGTGACGTGGCATGGGGTGGGAGGGTGTGACGTGGCACGTGGGGCTGGTTGTTGGTGGACGTGGCGGATGCAGGAGGGTGTGACGTGGCACGTGGGGCTGGTTGGTGGACGTGGCGGACAAGGAGGGTGTGACGTGGCACGTGGGGCTGGTTGGTGGACGTGGCGGATGCAGGAGGGTGTGACGTGGCGGAAGGTGAGGGTGGGGGATGACGTGACAGATGCAGGTGGGTGTGACGTGGCGGAAGGTGAGGGTTGGGGATGACGTGGCACCCTAAAAGGGTACACGTGAGCGGCGCATGACGAAGCGAGGCGTCTCAGGTGGGTGGGGGGTGACGTGGCTCTTGGTGGGGGGTGTGACGTGGCAAGTAGGGCGGGTTGTTGGCGGATGCAAAAGGGTGTGACGTGGCAGAATGTGAGGGTTGGGGCTGACGTGGCGGTTTGGAATGGTACACGGGAGCGGCGCGTGACGAGGCGACGCGTGTCAGGTGGGTGGGGGGTGACGTGGCATGGGGTAGGAGGGTGTGACGTGGCACGTGGGGCTGGTTGTTGGTGGACGCGGCGGATGCAGGAGGGTGTGACGTGGCACGTGGGGCTGGTTGGTGGACGTGGCGGACAAGGAGGGTGTGACGTGGCACGTGGGGCTGGTTGGTGGACGTGGCGGATGCAGGAGGGTGTGACGTGGCGGAAGGTGAGGGTGGGGGATGACGTGACAGATGCAGGTGGGTGTGACGTGGCGGAAGGTGAGGGTTGGGGATGACGTGGCACCCTAAAAGGGTACATGTGAGCGGCGCATGACGAAGCGAGGCGTCTCAGGTGGGTGGGGGGTGACGTGGCTCTTGGTGGGGGGTGTGACGTGGCAAGTAGGGCGGGTTGTTGGCGGATGCAAAAGGGTGTGACGTGGCAGAATGTGAGGGTTGGGGCTGACGTGGCGGTTTGGAATGGTACACGGGAGCGGCGCGTGACGAGGCGACGCGTGTCAGGTGGGTGGGGGGTGACGTGGCATGGGGTGGGAGGGTGTGACGTGGCACGTGGGGCTGGTTGTTGGTGGACGTGGCGGATGCAGGAGGGTGTGACGTGGCACGTGGGGCTGGTTGGTGGACGTGGCGGACAAGGAGGGTGTGACGTGGCGGAAGGTGAGGGTTGGGGATGACGTGGCGGATGCAGGTGGGTGTGACGTGGTGGAAGGTGAGGGTTGGGGATGACGTGGCGGTTAGAAATGGTACACGTGACCACTGCGCATGACGAAGCGAGGCGTGTCAGGTGGGTGGGGGGTGACGTGGCTTGTGGTAGGGGGGTGTGACGTGGCAAGTGGGCCGGGTTGTTGGTGGATGTGTCGGATGGCGCAGGGTGTGACGTGGCAAGTTCAAACAGTGTTGCTAGTCACCATCCCATGGTCATGCGGCCACCCTCATAACTGCTGGTTTCTCTCTTCCATGTCGTATTGTATACCTTACACCCCTGCGCAGAACAAAGCCTACTTAGTGTGCTCTCAGCTCATGTTTCTGAACCCGCCGGAGAAAATACAGTACTACCCTGCACCGGAGGAAGTGTTCGAAGCGTTCTCTGTCCACTTGTCTACAGAAGGGCTCGAGGCAATGAAGCTGCTGTGGTTGCACAATGACAAGTCAACCATGGGAGTCTTCAACCACCAGCTGTCCTCAACAAGGTCAACTATCAACTCCACCCTTAGGCCAGCAGCATACACCGGCATGGGCCTTGCCGATTACAGCCATCTCGTGGATAGCCTGCCCACTGAGCTACACCCAACGACCTGGTTCGACGACGATCAACTCCTAGCCGAGTACAGAGATGGTATGTGCAGTGCAACTCGAAAACACAATATGCCCTACCATATGCCCCTTGGCAGCTACATATCACCGTGTGATGTGGCTCACCCTGACTCTCATCCCCCCATTTGATTTCTCTACAAAACCCTTTCCAACCCATACCCTCCCTGCCAAAAAGCAGAACAGTGGGCCCTCAACTGGCACTTTGACAAGGCCACCGGGACACCCTTCAGCAACCCCTTGTTCGCTTATGCGTTCAAGCTCTCCTTCAAGAGGGGCGGGGCGGTGTTCACCAAGTTCAAGAGCCGCATGGTGGCATGGGGCCTGTTTTCGGTAAGGATGTAGATATGTGTTTGTACCCCCATGCCTCATCCCCTTAACCCCTTGCCTGTACTTCAGCTAAAACCCTGGTCGATAGGCCTTTGCAGTTACGTAGATAGTGACGACTGCATCACCGCTTTCAGTTGCCTCATTTACCCGGAACCTACCCTCCTCATAAACCATCCACCCAACCCTACACCACATTGCAGATCGAATGGCCCCTTCTGCAGGATAAGCGTCGCAAGCGAATCAGTAGCCAGCCGGAGCAGAACAGGCCAGACTACCAGGAGTGGTGCGAAAAGGTCAAACAGATGATCCATTTTGCTGTCGTGGAGCGGAGGATCCCCCACGATCCGGCTATGGGTGCATTCGTCTTTCCGAACAAGTTCCTCATCGACGACGGCGACCTTGGAGATATCGTCCTTGCCCACCGGGCGCTTTCAAGGCCCGCCAGTGCGTAGGCTATTTGACCTGGTGCTAAGACTGCTTGTTGCTAGAATGCTGAATAATGGTTCTTGTAAACCGCAATAATAAATGCAATTTTGAAATCCTCAATATCCAAAATGAACAAAAACAGAATTTAGTTTTGAATAATTTGGTCACGAATTTGCAACAAAACGGATTGCGCCCGAATGTCATCCGGAAAAGCTCGCGTGCCAAATTGGAACTTAAACCGAGCCAAACCTTGTCGCGAGATGTGTCTCGGAGCTCCTATCAAATGACTCCAACCGTCGGTCCAAATTGGCTCCGGATTTTTTTACGCGAAGACAATCGAAATCAAAATTCGTCCAAACTTGGCATAGGGTTTTTGTGATGCAATGGAGACGTAGGGCGGAGGGGACGCCTGACACGTGCACTTGGAAGCTGGAATGGAGAGGGGGAGAGGGGAGGACACACAATCACAGGCGACTGCTGAAGTAAGGAAGAAGAGGCAATGGGGGGATGGCTGTCA